ATACAAAAACATTGGTTGTCTCACAGTTTCTGAGGGTCAGGAACACAGGAGTGGTTTGTTGGGGCTAAGGGCCTACTTCCAAATTCAATCCCATGGTTGCTGGCAACGGGCCTCCGTTCCTTTGCTAGCTACCAGACAGAGGACTCCACTACTTGCCATGGGTCTCTCCATAGACTTCCCGAGAATGCTCATAACAGCTCTCCTCCTCCCTCCCCAGCAAGTGATCCAAGAGAGTGCACACCCCAAGACAGAAGCCTGTCTTTTTATAACCCTATCTCGGAAGGGCCAGTCTAGCACTTTGCGGTATTCTAATACCTGAGCATATCCAGCCCCCACTTAAGGGGAGGAAAACGAAGCTCTACCTCCTGAAACGAGGTAGGTCAAAGAGTCTGCGAACATATTTCACAGACAACCACACGTATAGCACATATCACCTACCTCTAGTTTGCTCTTTGGTCCATAGCGGAAGTCAGCAGTTTTTCTTCTGTAAAGGACCAGACTGTAAATATTTTAGGCAAGGGGGGGCCAGACTGTCTCTGCGACAACTCTTGAAACTCTGCTATTGTGCAGAAAGGTAGCCATAGGCAATACCCCTGATCCATGAACAATGTGGCGGTTCAGGGAGCAGACAGAAACCCACATCTAACTTTTAATCCCCCTAAGACTTTACTACTCGTTACATAAGCAAGTAAGTGTGGGTGGCTTTGGTCCAGTAAAATTTTACTTACAAAAGCAAGCATGGGGTGGATTTGGCCCATGTGCAGTAGCTGGTTGGCCCCTCCCTAGTCTATGGCTTAGAGAGGTACTGAAGCCTAGCATTCTTAATGTTCTTTCCTTGCCATGAGAATCCCATTTCCAAAGAAATTCATCCACCTGGTTGGCTGTCTGATCTGAAGCCACCATGACTCTGCATCTTGAAATTCAATGGGGAGACAGGAGGAAGGAAAAGGCTCATCAGAGAGATTTAGGTGGGGAATACTCCAGGATGAGGAATTCCGTCTGCCTTCTGGGAAACAGGCATGGGGGATAGTAAGGAGGTGAGCTGATTTGGTGCAACAGGGGATAAGATAGTGTCTTCATCCCACTTAATTATTGTGGTTGGAATGAGGCAAATCTGAGAGGAACTGTGGGTCTAGACTTGTGGTCGGCAAACTGCGGCTCATGAGCCACATGCAGCTCTTTGGCCCCTTGAGTGTGGCTCTTCCACAAAATAGCACAGCCTGGGCGAGTCTATTTTGAAGAAGTTGCTTTAGAAGAAGTTTAAAAAATTTGGCTCTCAAAAGAAATTTCAATCGTCGTACTGTTGATATTTGGTTCTGTTGACTAATGAGTTTGCCGACCCTGGGGCTAGACTACAGCATTCAGCTGTTGACTGCTTCTGTGAATGAAGGGATTCAACTTCACCAAGTCCTGTAACCCCAGAGCCCTGAGCAGAAGATGGGGGAGAAGGCAGAAGCTGTAGAGAACATGGGTGGATAGGAAATTTCACACAGAGAAGGGGCCTAACCCTGTGGGGTGGAGCATGGGGATAAGCTCTTATTTTGCAATATTCATAAACTTCCAGTGGTTATTTCTAGCTAGTATAAGGTTAAACATATGTTCGAACTCAGGCCTAATTTCCCCCCTTGGTTTTCAAGACTTTATTTTGCAAATACTGACATTCTGCTTGTTTCCCAGGGCTGTTTATATATTAAGCCTGTCATTTGATTGAGTCATGCAGAGATGGGGCTGAAAATTCTACTTTTCCTTCGAATTCACTTGCAATGGAATTTTTAAGTTGCATAAGGTACATAATTCCCCGTTTGAATTATGAATCATCCTCAAGATAGTTGACAAACTTCACAATTAAAATGTTGTGTTTTACCTTTTTTCATGCAAAAGCACAGACATTAAGTAGTCATTTTAAAGTTTGTTTTAAAGGTGAAATCTTATCTCTTGGGTAAGATGTGCTTTTGAATATGAGCCCTCCGCTGGTAAACTACTTCTCCATGTGGTTTGCTTTTGCTTTCAGGACACAGGATCTATCATGAGCCCAATTGGGTAGCGGGACATAACATCAATGCTCCACTCTTCTGTCAAGCTTTTCTCCCTCTTATCCTGAATCTAAACATAAATGAAAAGAGTAGAAAATAAACATGTTTTTTTAAACTATAGCTTTCATTGCAAGAAATTGGCAACTTTTTTTTTTTTAGGTGATTTCACCAAACTTAAGACAATAACCTGTTCCCACCAAGAGTTCTTAGGTATAAAATAATAACTTGGGAACAATGTTTTCTCTATTTCAGGTGCTCAGAGCTGGGGGCATTACAGAGACTTGGAACTTTAGACATCTAGCTTCTTACCTTGTGATGGAAAGTGTGTAAATTAAATGTCTGAGGAAAGCAGGCTGTGGAAACCTGATCCAGTTAGATTCCCTCAGCCCCGGAGACGCAGGTCGGGAACCGGTGAGCACCACAGAGGGCCACCACCCTGCACCGAGTTCCTGTGATGGTTGAGGTGCCGGCCTCCCAGTCTTCCCAAAGATGGTTGTGAGCAGTTCCACTTTTACTAATAACTTTATTTAAATAAGACACAGGAACTTCTATACTGAAAAAATACAAAACAAAAGCCACACATTTCCTTGTGTAAAGCCATAATGATGGTAACTCCAATACTGTTCAGCGCAGTGGCTAGAATTAAACAGTAGGACTATGTACAAAATTTAAACAATTTTCTGACAGTTTTCTACAGCTGGATGTAGGATACATTTGAGCTCAACAACTTCCGGGGAATTTATATGGCAAAGCATAAGCTTTAACACATTTGGTTCAAAACGTTCATATAGGCTAAGAATAAATGTACAACACAATTAATATTCAGTTTATCATGAGAAAATAAAAAGCACATCATATCACTATAAATATCGTACATCAGATTTCATCACCAGGAAAGCATCTTCAGTCCATCTTTTGGAAATTGATATTGATACTATTGCATCTTATTTGGACAAAAGCAGAGCATTAAGATCAACACATGGGTAATGCTAAACCGGGTATCAGAAGTTAATGGAGCTCATATTTATCTTACAGAACTAATAAGTTTTTCCCTTTAACCATATTCTACAAAATATAGTATTTTCATCAAGGCCTGAGATTATTAGGGTTAAAGGTGTCTGCTGCTGAAGATTGTTTAAAAAGGTTCCCCTGTGAAAACGGCAAAAGTAAACTGAATCCTTTCCCGTGACAGTCTCCTACAACGTAACACTGACTAATTTAAAGGAGCCAGAATGCGCCTTCAGGAGAGAATATTACTGCAAACTTTGGTGGAAAGAAGAAAATTGGAATCGTGACGAAATAATACACAGAATACATACACACACAAACACATACACATAGATGCCATTTCTTTAAAATAAAAAAAATCAATGGTGCTGCTTTCCTCTCTACCGTCTCTTTCTTCTCCAACCTCCTTAGAAAATAACAACCTGGGAATGACTGAAGGGAACTGCAACGTTCCAGTAGACATCTTGTTCCCCTAATTCTTAAGAAAACTGTGCCATGTACGGAAGGTGCAGATGGAAACAGCTCTGTGTTTTATTAAACTAAAAGCAATGCAATGAAAATACGAAAACTTCCCTTTGCTTTTGGATCCTCTGTGTGTGTGGCAGAAAACAATGTCTGAAAGCCGGGCTCTTCCCCCGAGAAGCTGGCAGCATCGGGGGCCCTGTTCACGCTGCGCTGAGAAGTCAAGTCAAGTCTGCAAGGTCAAGGCTATTTGACCTTACTGCTTTTGTAAGTCACCAACTAACCTCTAACTCCCGTGGCATTAATTCTGAGACCTACACATTCCCTCTCTACATGAATGTCACTCGTGCACCTGAACTGCTTGAGGAAGACAATAACCCCAAACGTGTCCTTTTTTAAACCTTCGAATTAAAGACTTTCCAAAAGGGAAACTAGACATTAACATACCTTTAGATAAAACAGTAGCATTTCATGACCTTGATGGCCAACATAAACAAACAAATCTCAACCACTCTCTGTGAAACTTCACTCGCTCTGAATTTAAACCTAGACATTCTTGCCTTTAAATTCCATCACACACAATGTGGAATGTTTGTGCACAGCCTGGTACTGGATACTTTATATGCGACACTGAACAGTCATTAACTGAGCAACACCTGAACTTGTTATTATAATAATAATAATAATAATAATAATAATAAGCCATGTTTATACACGTTGTGACCATGAATGCAACAGCTGTTTTCCTGGTAACCACATGACAAGAGTGATGTCAGACACCCTGGGTTTGCTGGTCCTCATTCTCCTAGGGCTGAATGCACTTCTTATTCTAAGGAAGTGGAATGTAATGAGGAAAGGGAAATGCGTAAAACAAGGAAAGGCAAAGAGGGATGTTCCCTCTTTAGCTTTTTAGCTGTGAAATAGTTAATATCCCAATATGATATACATTCCAAGTTACCTGAGTTTAGACTTCAACTGAAGTACCTGAAGCTAGGCCATAGGGTGGGCACTGTGCAACTGTTGTGGCCATTATTTTATTTTATTTTTTGCATTGTATGTATTACCAAAGTTAGAAACAAACACCTGGATCGATCGTAAACATAATCCTGAAGTACAGTATTTTCCATAGGACAAAACACAGCAAGACATTTTCTATTTAGACAGGCAACTTCTTGATATAGAGCTTATTTATACTGAAGAATTTGGAACAAAACACAGGACACAGTACTAATCTGTCAAACATACTATGAAATGCATAGTCTCCACTTAAAATGCTCAGTGACACACACATTTTGCAAGCATTGCTGCTTTCCACAAAAAACTGCTGACGAAGGAGTTCCATCTCTGCCAAGATCAGTGTTAAGAGATACTTTATGATGCTGCTAAGTAGCTTGTTGTCGGTGGTGGCATTCAGAAAGTCTGTCACTCCATGCAGGTAGACGTCTGAGACCTGGTTCCTAATCCGTGGAAGGTCCGGTAGGGCCAGCCCCGGCTGCGTTAGATGACCACGTAATTCTGCGCAGAGACGTGCTCCTCGCCCTGCAGGTCCTGCAGCAGCTGCGGGGGCTGCGGGGATGGCTGCAGGACGGAGGAGGCCTCCGTGGAGCCCGTGCTGGTGTCATCGGAGAGAGACGTGAAGGAGACCCGGGAGGAGAGCTGCTCCATGGTCAGGGTGGCCAGGCCTGGGTTCTGGGCAGAGCTGGGAGAGTTCTTGAGCATCAGGTCAGAGGCGGGTAAGAGAGGGCCCAGGAGTTTTACAGGACAGAAAGCTGATCCCGTTGGGATGAAATTAACCTTGTTTTTGTCAGGACATGAAAAGAGAGGGACTGAGAGAGGCTGACGAGACCTAAAACCATAAAATAAAATGAGGTTTACTTACAATCACAAAAAAAGTTAAGCACTTTCTGAACTAATAGGAGTTTCTAAAACAGCTACAATGTGAATGGCAGGGGATGAGTTAAGTGTAGAGGGGTAAACATCTTCCATAGCAAAGTCAGCTGGCAGATCCTGATGTACACAGCACGGAAGTGATATTTGGGCAGACTAATCTTCCCAGAGTTCGTTAGTTTGCTTTCAAACATTCAGGGACGTGGGAAAACCTCTCACATTATAGCTGAAGAACATGCTCAGTTGGAAAGCTCTTTCTTCTAAGAAAAAGTATACTGGGAGAGGATTGCCCCCCCCGTTTCCTCCTTTTTGTGCATTTCTATACATACGTTCTAGTCACACAGATCAGAAAAATAAAGTTTCAGTAGCTTCTCAAAGAGCCAGTCAAAGCAGGGTCTGCGAGCCCTTCCCGTCCTCCACACCCAGAGCCTAAGCCATCCTCCCCTGCAGGCAGGGCTGTCCCTGCTACACGCAAAGGGGCAGCGGCCTCCGCCACACACCTGCACTGGGCACAGGGATTGTTGTACTTTTTTGCCCAAGAGCCACACAGGTTGTTGGGTTTTTGTTGGTTTTTTTGTTCAGGCTATTCTGCCAAGTAGTTTCAGTATGAACTTCTTTTCTTTAATTTCTAATGTGTACATATTTAAATTTCAGAAAGGAAAAAATCGTAAACAGAAAGTCCAGTGACTATCCATGGCCCATGTGTCCACAGGGAAGGAGACTGGCTTCCTCTGGCTGGGGGCCACTGCCATTAGATGCACCACGCGTGGTACTGACTCTGCGGCTCGAGTCCACCTACCTCCACACAGCCTCGGGAGGGGACCTTCTGAGTGACTGAAAATGGGTCTTTTAGCTCGTAAGGATGAGTTTCCAAGTTCCTTTTGTGTTAGCTTAAATATTCCCAGCATACAGCCTCCACTTCTCCTTTCCTAAGCTCTCTGTTGCCTATTTGTTTCTCCTTTTACAATTCAGAAACACATTATCAGCTGGACGGAGTAGTTGATTCATCTGTAATCAACTGGTCTCGGTGAAAAGCTTCACAGCTTTGCAGATCCCAGCTGACAGAAAAGACATTACTTACGCCATTTCCTCAAAGACCTTCACTCGCTCACATCCCTCGGGGGGCTCCCGTTTGAACATGTAGCTGTTGTTTGGTTTGGGAGATGAAGCATACTTGGGTAACGGTGAGCTACTCCCACTGTCTGTAAATTTAAAGCAGTTATATTAACTAGTGATTGAAAGCTCTTTTCAATTAAATTTGATTTCCAAACAAGCAGCCGTTTGCACAATTTATCCACTCTGGCCCCTTGGCTTCCACCACAGAGCTTCCTTTATGGCAAAGCTATTTCTATCACCCTTCTGTAGTACATTTCTTATAAAGGAATCTTCAATGCAGCAGTAATCTGCCACACCACGGAACATGAAAGGATGATATTTGGGTCTAGAAAACTGCATTCTGAATAAAGTAGAGTTGTAGTCCTGAAAACAAATACATTGTTATGTATTGCAAAATGTAAATGAGTGGCGCAATATGTGTAAGTCATACAACAGAATTACGAGAGATTGTAATACAGGGTTCTCTATGTATTCTAACTGTCCAACCAATGTAATTGGAAATTTTAGTATGTGGAATAATCTTCGCTAGCTCTTAGCAGAAACGTTTCTTTTATATTAAACATTATGAATAATATGTATGCAGGGAAAAACACAAGTTTATAACACAATGTCTTTTCCCTTCCTCCCATCATGAAAAAGTAATTTGCTCAGGATTTTGCCTTGAAAATGCCTGTAGAAAAGAACTTTCTTAGCACAATTTGTCTCTTTGCTACTGGAAGCATGAGAAATCTAAAAACGTCTCTACTTAACAAGTTTTCTTTATATTTTGACCAAAAAGAAAATGGTCTTATTCATGAAAAGCTGTAAAATCTATATGTAATTTCTTCCTTTCCTATCTGGCAAAGGATTTTGGAAATTCAAACCCACCAAAATGTGTCATTATCTCCATGAGATGCCAAGCTGTAAAGTCAGTAACATGCTTGTATAAATACAATAGTCGCATTTAAACAAATTCTGACTTAATGCAAATCCAATCCCCCTCTGCTAAAATACTAAGCACATGATCTAGTGAAATGTATTATTTTCATACATATTCTGAAAGATAGCATTTGCACCATAATTACATTAGTCACAATTTTGATAAGTTGCTTTAGTTTAGGATATGGAACACAGTCTAACATTCAGAATCTGAGTATAGGGACTTTTTATCATTATTAATGAAGTATAGTACATGCTTAGAAAGTAGACCCTTCAGGCACACTTACAGTGTGTTTGGTGAGCGATTTAAAGAGCTTCTATGTTAGTCCTGAGAACAAAGATGTGTGCTTGCATTTGGATGTGGCTCTATCTCTGGCGGGGAAATCACTGCTTTGAAAAATAAGGCTACACTACTGGGAAACCTAGAGAAGCACACAGTTCCTCCATCACTACTGTTATGCATGTCCCTACAGATTATGCGGAGTTTCTTTGAAATAATCAAGTCTTAGCATTAAGTTGGTTTCTTCACATACCACACAGATTTGTGGATTGTCTTAGATTCAACACTTACACTATACTGCTTAAACAAATCTCCTGTGGGAGTGAATGGGGGTGAGGGAGAAGAGGATATGAATTTCTCAGGAAGATGCAAAGTATCATTAACCTGATTAGAGTCTGAGTTTGCTTCTCTCTATTTGAACTAGGCTAGACCAAAAAGACTGGTCCACAGTAGAAAACGGGTGAGAATGAGGCTGTAATACCAAAAACATAGCTGGACCTTGCTTTGCTGTCCAAACAGCAAGACTTGCACAGGAAATACAGAAGAAAGTAGATAAGAGCGTAGGATGCCTCCATGGAGATGACTGTTGGCAATAACAGAGCCTCCTGGTGTGCAGAAGTGGCCCAAGATGATGTGCCCCAGACCTTTAAATGCCTTTCTGCCATCGGCAGGGGTGTGACTGTGTCATTAGCAAACAAGGATTCACCCTATTGTCATGTGAAAAAAATCATCTTGGCCAGTTACAATCTGTGTTCTATTTCTTATTACATCACTAGGCTAGGGACTTTCCCAGAACTGAAAGTTACATGTGAGTTGAATGATCTTCAAAACTGATTATCTTCCTGTTAACTATCTATAATGAATTAAATGGTTTTTCTTCTTGAAACTTTTCTAATTTCCAATTTCTAAAAATTGCTACACGAAAATGGTATTATAGTATCTTCAGGCAGAAAGCCACATGGAACCTTTAGTGTATTATTATATTCCTAAAATCCTGCTCCCTTTCTGATGCTCACTGCCTTATTAGTGGTGGTAATCATTTTCCACAACTCCCAAGCTAGAGCTCTGCCTTTATCCTCATCTCCCGTCTCATACACCTCCCTCACCTCACACATCTAATCAGCCACCAAATGCTGCTTGCTGATCTTTCTTCCATCCCTTCTTCCAAGTCCTCTGCCCCTGCCATCCCTCCCCGACTTCACCCTAAACCTGTGGTTCCCAACTGAGGTGCACAACCCAATCTGCTGACAGGCAAGAAGAAAATATTAGAACATTTTCATATTTACTCCAAATCTTTGAAAATATGAAAGGAAGTTTTACCAGCACATATTTAGCTTGGGGAATGGATTACATACAGATAATTTAGAAATATATGAATTTATATTACGGACACGGATTAAAAATGGTTGAAAAGTGTATGTAATAAGTCAAGTTTGGAGACCACAGGACTAGGCTCCTACAAAAGCATCTTAGCTAGTACTCCTGCTGTCTCTCTCCAGTTCTATAATTCTACCCGAGTTATAGTCCCAAAAGAGAAAGCTAGTCATGTCCTTTAGCTGACAAAGGTCTTTGCTTGGCTCTTCTTTTCTCTTCCCGAGGCCTCCAAGGCCCTTTATAAAGTAGCTGCTCCTCCACCTCTCCAGGTGCACTGCTTTCTACCAGCTCCCCAACATTCACCCCTGTGCTCCAGCCACACAACTTCTTACTTCCTTCCCACACCAGGCCCTTTCACCCTGAATGTCTGTACTCCTCCTGCAAAGGCAGCAAGAAGTAAGGTTAAGTAGTAGTTAAGATTTTTGTTGGCATCTGGACTGCAGAGAACTTAAGTTACTTCATTTCTTTAAGCCTCAGACTCTGCATTCTTACTGATAATATAAAGACAATATCTATACTCATAGGATTATGGCAATATTACAGGAGATAACACAGGTAAACTCACCTGAGCACATTTAATCATCTTAACAATGCTATGAGGCAGGTACCATCATTATCCCTAATTTACAGGCAAGAAAACTGAGATACAGGGAGGTTGAGTAACTTGCCCAAGGACATATAGTTAGTAAGTGGCAGAGCAGAGATTCAACTAGTGAATCTGAGTCAGAGTTCATTACCGTTAGGCTGTCTGCCAAAGTTCTGTTCTATCTCAACTCAACTGTCCTCATTAGAGACATGAGGTGACCAGAAGATCGAGTTCCTCCCAGCCTAGCCTATGTTTCTAATTAAAATCTTATAGCTCAGGTAACAGCTTTATTAGGTCTGCCTTCTGTTAGCCTCACAAAGATATACAGTACAAGGACTGGCCTCTGTGTTGATATTTGTTCTGAGAGGAGAACAAAAGGTAACGGAACAAAATTCAACAGGTCCCCTTTTCCTCTAGCCTGGCTGATACCCTATTTTTCTCTCCAGTCATGAACAGAGTTGAAGATGCGACGGGTTTTAGCAAAGGTACTTCTTTTCCCCTAATTTCAACAAGAAATGAAGCTTCATGTCTTCTTCCCCACCAAAAGGCTATCACTAGGTTCACATAATCAGTTTTTTTTATTTGTTTATGGGGAGGTGGGGAGAAAGAGTATCACACTCTTCCTGAACATTCAAAAGCCAAACACATACAATTTAAGAACTTAACAAAAAAGACATTAATAATTTCAACACAGCTATAAAAATATATCCTTAAAAATGGACATATCACCAAGAAAGCTCTTAAAGGATTACTCAAAAAGTCTCCACTAAGCACCACTCTGCTAGACACTACTCCATTTGCTAAGGATAAAGCAACAAGAAAAATAAAGTTGCCTGTTCCTGCTGGACCTCACATTCTGCTAAATGTGTAACAGGAGATTAGGTGAAAGACACATGCAGGTATGATAAATTCTGGGTTGCTTCTATTATAGATTCTGGGTTGTAATTGCTGGAACTGAGCTGTATATTTATTAGTTTTAAATTATGAACAGTAACTTATCCAGAGAGCTAGCATTGCATCTGCCATTGCTACAATTGTGAACATTTTCCAAAAGTAGGGAAAAAGGCATTTATTTACTAGATGTTCCTTATAAGCTGTCAGAATAGGATATACATATGATAATTTTAGATATTATCTTGAAAAAAAAAAAGAAATTGGAAAGATGACCTCAGAGACATAATTCTAAAACAGATCAGTTTTTTAAAATAGTAGCTAATATTTATTATTTATTTAAATCAAATTTATTGGGTAACAATGGTTAAAACCATTATATGTTTCAAGTGTATAATTCTATAATACATTATCTGTATATTGCACTGTGTTTCACCATCCAAAGTGTAGTCTCCTTCTGTCACCACTGATCCCTCTTTACTCTCTTCATCCCCCTCCAACTCCCTTCCCTCTGTAACCACCATACTATTGCCTGTGTCTAAGAGTTTGTTTGCTTTGTTTGTTCTGTCACTTTATTTTTTTTAAATGATTGATTCCATTCATAGATTGCGCTTTCTTTTTTTTTTTTCTTTTTTTTCTTTTTCTTTTTCTTTTCTTTTATTGATTTTGTACAGAGAGGAAGGGAGAGAGATAGAGAGCCAGAAACATCAATGAGAGAGAGTCATCGAACAGCTGCCTCTTGCACACCCCCCACTGGGGATATGCCCGCAACCAAGGTACATGCCCTTGACCGGAATCGAACCCGGGACCCTTCAGTCCCCAAGCCGACGCTCTATCCATTGAGCCAAACCGGTTTCGGCTGTTCTGTCACTTTAGAAGAGATCTCCTTTAACCTGTGAGATAACTCCTTTGTTGGAACTGAATCTCTTCACTCCTTGGAATTTCACCACCAAGAGGTTCTTCTACAATAACCATCCTGGAACCACATGGGAAGATTCCTTTCATAGAAAAACCGATTCAGGCTCAAAAGCAGTGATTGGCAAGATGTAGGAGCTAAAAGAAGTATATCCAACATATCTATTTTCACAAAATAAACCACAAAAAGAACAGTGCTCCAAAATCTTGGCTGATTCGGCTATCTGGAAGATAGAGGATTAAAGTATGGTAAGGGTAAAGGCCAAAAAAGGTTAAGAAATAGAGTTCTACAGATCAATCAAATAGAGTTAAAATATATGTAGAAAGAAATTAGAAGATAGTAAAAATTCAAAGTCTGCCTAGGGTCAACTCAAGACCCTGAAAAGACAAGAGAATTTTTTTCCTCTCGCCTGTGAATAAGGGCTGCTCAGTTCTAACACCCAAAAAGTCTTAGCAATATTAATATTTATGAGTTAAATCACAGTATGAGTTAAATAGGCTTTTATTCATTGGTCTTAGGAAACTCCATCCACATAACATATGTTGTTCCTGTGGGAAAATATAGTTTATGTTCCAAATAACCAATTTATGGGCTCTTGGAATACAGCTCTCCATAGTTGGATTGAGAAGAACTTTTGAGTCGACTTAGATTACAATAATCAATGTTTCCACTATATCTTGCAAAACTGCAGAATGTTTTAACAACTGCTGACATGAATTATGCCAAAGACCAACTATAAGTGGCAGACTGAAGTCTAGATTTTGTGGCTTGCCCAGCACCAGTTTGGCTACCAACAAGGAACACTGACAGAGCTGCTAAGGGAACTAATATTTTTATGCTGCCATCTGTATTATATAAATGACTATTTTCCTCCCTTGCAGTTGGGGCATAATAATGTAGCCGACACAACTCTTAGGATATAGTCTGAGGCTGTCAAGATAAGAACTCTTATTCTGGATCCCTGAATTCTACACACACACAAACCAAAACCTGAAAGCAGTCTCTTCCCTGCTGGACCTTTCTCAATAGAATGTTTCTGTCTTGGGCAACTGCAATAGCCCAAGAAAAACAAAACAAAACAAAACAAAACAAAACACACACACACACACACACACACACACACACACAAAAAAAAAAAAACAAAAAACAAAAAACAAAAAACAACAACAACAACAACAAAAAAAACACAGAAGGCTAATCAACTAATATTATTTTAGAGGTCTCAAATTACACATGATTCATGGAGAATAGATGCTAGAAAGAGGCAGAAATAAGTGTTGAATAGAGGAGTAACGGAAGCAGCATCAGCATACCTCTCATTAGAACGCATATTCCAGCGGCTGGCCCTCCCCTCCTGAGAATGCTAGCCAGGGCTCCAGGATGTCTGAACTGGCTAGTCTCCCACAGAACTGAACAATATGGGGGTCTCCAAATCAATCCTAGTTGACTATAACATTATAGGATCAATTCTGTCTTCATAGTTAGTGATGCAAACCTATTAGAAACCTATTAACTTTCACATTTTTCTTTACTGCAAATATATGGAAACAAAAGAGCAATTTATGTTTTATTGCAAAAAGTGCCAATTATAAGATAAAATAAGTACCTTTAAAAAAAATCCCCAGAATTTAGACTATACATAGAGATCTGACCAAAAAGGTATAATTTTGATTCATTCATTCCAGATGTTAATTGTTATATTGGCTGTTGTCCTTTTTTTATTTGACAATCTAAGGGAGAATAGGTCAGTGTCCCTGACTTAAATAGTCAGGTATTGCATGTTTTAAAAATTCTTGTAGCAAACTGATTGAAAATTGCTGTTGCAAAGAAAAGGTTTGCTCTGGGGAGATAAGTAATAATAACAATTATTATTTTTATAGCAGCAGCTACCATTTATGGAATCCTTGAGAATTAATGCAAATTTTATGCCCAAAACTTTAAGGACTCAAATCCATTCCTGTGTGTCAAAGCCAATGAGCTCTTAGCTCTGGTGTTGAAGTGTGCTCCCTGCAGAAGACCTTGCAGTGCAGGAGAGTGGCATGAATATACCTTCTCATAAGAACACAGATTGTAAGTCTTTAGGGGAAAAAAGGCATTAAAGAACATATATGGTTTTAAACTTAGAATTGAACTGCAAAGCCCAGATTTATCTGTTTCATGGAATACAGACACTTAAGAGTCCTGAAGCAACCTCACAACCAGTGAACCAAGATAGTTCACTGTCAACTTATTAAAATATTTCCTTTGTGGGTCAATGTCTCTTAAATACTCAGAGTATTAAACTTAAAAAGAAGAAAACAAAACTTCAGAGTTTTCTAATCATACTATCACTATTATGTTTACTTTTCATTTTAACCCACTGCAAGACCTAATAAGCCGTCAGTGATCAATCTAAAACATATTTATCTTTTCTACTAGAGGCCAGCATGTGAAATCGCACAAGACCCAGACCCACTGTACCGCCGGGACTCCAGACCCACCACATTGGTGGGACCCCAAGACCAGCCATGCATGAGCAGCTTGCCGCGGAGAGCCCTGCCTCGCCACACACACCCACAAGCCCCTCCGCGCCACGCGAGCCCCGCATGAGCCCCTCTGCACCCTGTGAGCCTGCCATTGCTGTGAGCAGCTAGCTGGCAGGGGGAGGGGAAAGAGAAGGGACCGAGAGGTGCTCCATGCACCTCCTGGTGACAGTTGTTTGGTCCTTACAGCATTACAGCCACTGGCCTTTTGTAGATGGATGTAACAAAGAATATGGATTTTGGCATCAATCAGACAGACCTGTTTTGCCACTTACCACCTGTGTAGCTTAAAACAAGTTAACAACAATATTTCACATTTCCATTTACCTTCAAAATAACTCTTTGCTTCTAGTAGGAGCATTTTTTCTTGATTGTTTTACTGAAAATGTTATGAGGGGGTGACTAAAAATATTTGTTCTGGTAGGATGCCTTAGTGAGATAGTTTCCTGGTCTAACATCCTATCAAATGTAGACTGCTGACTTGAAGCAAAGAAATGCCTTAAGTGCTATCCTGCTCAATACAGCCTCAATGGGGTAAGGGAGCTCACAGAGTTTTCAAAAAGGAAAGGGCAAAAAGAAAGGAGAGAACCGTTGGGATCTACCCACAAAAATAAGAGCAGAGGACAAAGTCCAAAGTAGGTTCCATTTAAATCTCAGCAGAGAGTCAGGCAAAATGATGAATGAAAGAAGCCAGACACAAAATGCCATTTCATTTCTATAAAATACAGTAACACAGACAAACTCGATTATGGTGATGGAAGTCAGAATGATGGTGACTTCCAGGTAGAGGGGAAGGATACCGTCTGGGAAGGGGGCTGAGAGGCTCCGGGGTGCTAAACCTTCTAAATCTTGATCTGCATCCACTCACAAAAATTCATTGGACTGAGCCCATAAGCGTGCAATTTACATGTAAAAATACCTCAAAATGAAACACATTGAAGGGAGCGAGGGGAGGGGGGTATCAAGTCAGGACAAGGACCATAAAAACCCTCTAAGATTCTCTACACTTTAATTTTTCCATGTTTTAAAGTTTTATTGCCTAGGACCTATTTTTCTACAGTGAGAAGCAATGAATGAGTTATAAAATAATTTCAGTGTTTCTTTGACAGCAGCTAGGAAGACAGTCTTTGTTTGCCTTCTGGGTCTAGGTCTGAGAGGGCCAGAAACTAAAACAAGAGAGTGAGCACAAGAACATGGAGATGGTTTGGGCCTGACAAGCAACAACAAAAATCCCAGAGGTTCTGCCCTCTTATTGGTGCTATCAATAATTCATGTATACAACATAATTAATCCCTGATGTCCTACAGGTAACGTATTAAATTTTATCTACTTGGTTAAAAAATACTCTTTCTTCCAATATTATTTTTAGAAATTATTTCTTCCCAAAACAATCTGATTACGCAGTCTAACTAGAGGCACAAGAAATATAGACTCTACCATAACCATCATTAACTCTGGGCAATACCAAAGAAAAACGTGTCATATGACATGAAGCTGTACATAGTCCATTTTACAGCTTTCATTGGCTCTCAGAATCATGTGCTGTGCTTCTCTGACACATTTATGGAAGATGTTTGTAAGAGTCACAAAGAAGGGAATATGTAAAACCAATGAACAAACAACCCTAGGTTAACCAATCCTTTATAATCCCACCACTCAACAACAACAACAAAAAATAAAAATAAAAATGATGCAATGGTCTAAGGCAAAGAAAGTATGAGCAAGGCCCTATAACAAACCCTCTATCGAGGTGGGTGGTGCCATCTTACCTTTATCACGATCATAGAGTAAATCTTCTGTTGAGCAAGGGCTACCGTCCTGAGATTCCGGGGGACAGAAAGGGGAGACACAGGGCGAGTGGCTGCTGCAGCTGCTGCTGCGCTCCTGGACAGAGGGGGTCTGAGTGTCGATGCTTCGTGTGCTGCTGCTCCGGTAGTGAGCAGGGAGTGGAGCTCTTCGGCCGTCGGGGATGTCCAAAGGCTGTAGGAGGAATAACCATGAAACATGTGAATGCCAGTGCATACTCTCGATTCACACAGAAGACACGTGAGTTTCCTCAGATGTCATATTCCACTATCAGCATCTGTGATTCTTACTACAATAAAGATACCAATCTTAAATTCTGCATGTTACCTTTATTGAACAAAACATTTCTTTCATATACCAAAGTTTTCAGGGTCCAAAGTATTAGACAGCTCTCTAATTAAAATTAAACAGCTCTCTATATGTACCATAGGTCAGCATTTCCACACTATCCCCCAAGTGCAGAGGCTTCTTTTAACACTGAATCCTGAATGCCAAGTACTGGGTCTGGCACACAGCAGACATTCAGTAAATATATACTGAATTAATTCATCCAACTGCTCAAGAAATCTCTTTCACTTGCCAATAAGAAAACTAAAATCTAATATTCACAGTATACATTTTTCTGTTTGTTCTTTCTTATTTTAATTTTGAAAGCCATGAACAATGTTTTCTATTTCCTTTGCAAATTACCCAAATTTTCTAATAACGAATGTGAGATATTTCTAATAAGGGCCTTTTATTTAGAAAATAAAGAATTTTACAAAGAACTTTTGCCATTAAATAATTTAAAAAGTAACCTAATTTTAAAATGGGGCAAAATATAGACAATTTTCCAAAGAAGATGCACAAATGGTCAACAAATACATGAAAAGAAGCTTAACCTCATTAGCCATCAGGAAATGCATATAAGTACTAAAGAAAGATACCATTTCGTATCTACTAGGATGACTATAATAAAATTGATAATTTCAAGTGTTAGTGAAGATGCAGAAATTAGAACTTCATATACTGCTGGTGGGAATATAAAAAAAGTGCAGTGCAGCCACTTTGGAAAACAGTCTGGTAGTTTATCAAAAGGTTAAACAAAAAGTTACCATGGTCCCATATCAACAATAGATATAAACCCAGAGAGATGAAAACAATATGCTCACATGAAAACTTATATATAAATGTCATAGCAGCATTACTCATAATAGCCCCAAAGTAAAAACAATACCAATGTTCACCAATTGATGATATGATAGATAAAATCCATGCATAACTGACTATTATTTGGCAATAAAAAGGGATAAAGTACTTATAGATGTTAAAACAAAAGTGACATTTCTGACAAGTGAAAAAAAGCAGTTACAAAAGGCTACATAGTGCATGCTTGCATTTATATGAAATGTCTAGAATAGGCTAGTCCATAAATAGGGAAGGTAGATCTGTGGTTGCCTAGGGCTGGGACTATTGGAGGGAAATGAAGAATGACTGCTCAAGGGTATGGAGTTTCTTTTTGGTAATGAAAATGCTGCAAAATCAATTGTACAGATGGCTGCACAACTCTGTGAATATGCTAAAAACCACCAAATTGTACACTTTAAATATGCAAACTTTATGGTATGTGAATTACATTTAAAACTGTTACCAAAAAAGAACTTTTGAGACAGTTAACAATATTTTTTTTTTTTTAAAGAATTCAAACATTCCATGTAAACTTACCTTGGACACATCCTCCTTCCCATTATTTTCCTTAATGAATACCTTTTCTAACTCAGGACTTATTCCCTCTACATTGCAGGGCACACGTGAAACAACTGATTTTGGCACTGATATATTTGACAGTGGCATAGGGACTGATCTTGATCCAGAAGCCTACAAATAAGATAAGGTAATATCAAATTATTTGTGGTCAAAGAAATCAAAACTAAAGAGTATGTAAATCTGAAATTACAAATACACTGAGCATAGTTATTTTCACCTTTCAAAACAATGTAAGTTCAGATATACATATAGAAATTTAGGTTCTAAAATAAGAAATGTAAAAATCACAATTAAAATAATCCTTTATGCAAGTACATAGATATGACTGTATGTATAATGAATAAACTTTTACCTGGTAAGGTAGAATAGTAGACATAATCATCTACACTGTTTAATTTTTACCCTATTCTATTTTTACTGAAAAAAGCATAGTTGAAATCATATATTGTGGGTGTGCGTGTGTCAGTCTGTTTCCTGCACTGAGATAATTACCTGCAAGTATTTTTCATTTCCATTTTGACAGTCATTTAAAAAAACTTAAGCCATTTAAGCTTAATTTTAGGCATGTTATATTTTTTATTATTTATATAACATCATTGCCAGAAGTATATATTTGGTTTCTGCCCTGGTCCCTAACACAAAGTTCCTAAAATTCTTGTAATTTCCTGAGTGATGGGGGCGCCAATTAGCACCTTTTGTTCCAATATTTATTTTTTGACCCCAGATCCTGACACAGAGCTCCTAAATTCCTTAGAATTTCCTGGGTCTTTTGTTCTAATGAGACAACTCTTGGTGAGCTCCTGAATAGCTTCAGAATGGGGGCTATTCACTAGAAAGACCAAGCTATGATCATATGCTTGAAATTCCAACATGCTTCATCCTCTTGGGAGGGGAGAAGGGATGAAGACTGAGTTAACAGTCGGCCATGCATATGTGATGAAACCCCCATAAAAAATCCCTGAACTCTGGGTTCAGATACCTTCCAGGTTGGTGAACACATATCCATATCCACCAAACGGTGACATACCCCAACTTCACCGGGACATAAGTGCCTGCACTCAAGATCTTCCAGATCTTGCCCTATGTTCCTCTTCATCTATATCCTTTATTATACCATTAAAACACACCAATACCGTGTTTTCCCGAAAATAAGACATCCTCCGAAAATAAGACCTAGCGCATGGAAAGATAAGACATCCCCTGAAAATAAGACCTAGCGCAACTTTGGGAGAAAAAATTAATATAAGACACTGTCTTATTTTCGGGGAAACAAGATAGATGTGTTTATTTGAGTTCTGTGTGCCATTACAGCCAATTATTGAACTGAAGAAGGGTTGTGGGAATCCCTTCTTTATAGCCAGGTGGTAGAAGTAGAGACGATAATCTGGGACTTCCAACAGCAGCTGCAGGTGGGACAGACTAGTGAGGCCAAGCCCTCCACCAGCAGAGTCTGTGCCAACACCAGGCAGTTAGTGTCAGAATGGAATTGTGAAACTCTTATTTTGTATTTGAAGAGTTGGAGAATTGGTTGGTGTGAAAACAACTCAACACATTTGGTAGAAACATTATAGTAGAGGGTACAGAAACTCACATTTAAGAGAAAAATACCGATTTTATGTTTATATTTTATGTAAACATCTCACTAAGTTCTCAGTTTTTATTGTGGAAAAAATATAATCTTCTACATAATTAAACAGAATAGCATAATGAATTCTCATGTGCACATGAAAATTATAACAAGTGCCAATTTTGTTTTATCTAAAATCCTTTTATTTTCTGTTTTTAGAGAATTTTATTTTTATTTATTTTTAAAATATATTTTATTGATTTTTTTACAGAGAAGAAGAGAGAGGGATAGAGAGTTAGAAACATCAATGAGAGAGAATCATTGATCAGTTGCCTCGAGCACACCTCCCACTGGGGATGTGCCCGCAACCAAGGTACATGCCCTTGAGCGGAATTAAACCTGGGACCTTTCAGTCCGCAGACCTATGCTCTATCCACTGAGCCAAACCGGTTTCAGCTGTTCTTAGAGTATTTTAAAGAACATTCTAGACTTCACCTCTCACCTACAAAAAGTTCAATATGTATAGCAAGGATTATTTTTACACATAACCAAATGCCAAAAACTTCTTGTGTAAATTGGGAACAAGCACATCATTTTTTTTTTTTATGTTAAGTCAAGAAGACAACAGATCTACTATAAATGCATTGGGGTTTTACAGAAAAGATGCTCAAAATAAAATAAGAATAATATTTTAATTCTATCAGATTAAGGTTAAAAAGTCATGTGAAATTTCACTTGAAATGTCTGAGGCTTGCTTGGCAATTGCATGCTTGTTTTACAGCTCTGATGAAGTATAAATGGCGTACAATAAAATCCTCCCATTTTAAGTATGCAGGTCATTAAGCTTTGTAAATATACACAGCAATCCAATTATGAGTATAATCACATTTAGAACCTTCCATCATTCTGAAAAATTCCCTAGGGCCTCTCTGTAGTTAATTCCTAATCCTAATACTTTGTCTATAATTTTGCCTTTTTGAGAATTTAATATACTGAATCATACAGTATGCAGTCTTTTGCTCTTCACTTTTTCACTTAGCATGTTTTTGAGATTCAACCATCTAAGTATCAGCATCTCCTTCCTTTTACTGCTGAGTAGTATTACACTGTATAGATAGATGAAATGTTTATCCATTCACTAGCTGATGGATATTGGTTTGTTTCCACTCTTTCACTCTTATGAATAATGCCTTCATGGACATTGCTGTACAAGTCTTTGTGTGGACATATGTGTTTACTTCTCATGGACAGATGCTAAAGAGTGGAACTGTTGGGCTGTATGGCCAGTGTATACTGAACTTTTGCAGAGAATGCCACGTTGTTTCCAAAAGTGGCTGCGCCATTCTGTGTCCTACCCTCCCCCCGCCCCCCACAAAGTATGGCTCCTCTAGTCCTTTCACATCTTCATCAATACTTGGTATTGTCAGTCGTCTTCTATTTTAGCTGTCCTATTATTAGTTTTAATAGTTTAGTTCATTCACTTTAATCTTCTAAATATATAATATTGTGTGCAAATAATAGTATCAATTATTTCTTTTTTTCCCACTGCTTTGTCTAGAGCAATGATTCCCAAACTTTTCTTGACCATACCCTATCAGGATTTAAGCATCTCTAAAATCCTGATGCCACCCTGTGACATATCATTCAAAAAGTGAATTCCTATTCACGTGGAAGAAGCCTGAAAGGCCATTAACTTGATCTAAACAAGCTTCCAAAGAACATGGCATCCATGAAAGAGAAAAATAAAAGAACAAAAGGACAGGTGAAATATTGAGGAAGAAATCACTATGAAATTGTTTAAAATATAATAATATGAAGTGATATGAAAAAAGTAGCAAATAAAGTTTCAAAACATATAATAGAGAATTAAAATGTATAAATACTGGTAGGTCACCATATATATACATAGATACACACACACACACACACACACACACACACACACACACACACTGAGTGGCCAGATTATTGTCATCTCTGAATGCATAATAATCTGGCCACTCACTGTGTGTGTGTGTGTGTGTGTGTGTGTGTGTGTGTGTGTGTGTGTGTGTGTTTGGAGGTCTGGTGCATGAATTCATGCATGAGTGGGGTCCAGCCAGCCTGGCTAGGGGGAGGGAACATGGGCAGTTGGCCATGCTGGTCGAACTCCTGGTCCAGGGGACAATTTGCACATTAGCCTTCTATTATATAGGATATAAACTGAGTGGCCAGATTATAATGCGTCCAGAGAGCATAATAATCTGATCACTCAGTGTATATATACTGTATATGAGCCCTCCAGAACCATAAGAAATACAAAAAATTCACTGTTAATAACTCATTCTCGAATTGCCCCCCTTAAAAATCAAATTGCTCCCCTGTGGGGCATGTGCCCAATGTTGGGAACCACTGGTCTAGAGCATCTATATTATTAGCAAATAATATCAATAATTATAGACATCTATTTGACTTTTATTATAACAAAAACACTTCCAATATTTTATTGGTAAAATCTCACAGTATTGCCGGGACCGGTTTGGCTCAGTGGATAGAGTGTCGACCTGCGGACTGAAAGGTCCCGGGTTCAATTCCGGTCAAGGGCATGTACTGTGGTTGTGGGCACATCCCCAGTGGGGGTGTGCAAGAGGCAGCTGGTTGATGTTTTTCTCTCATTTACGTTTCTAACTCTCTGTCCCTCTCAATTCCTCTCTGTGTAAAATCAATAAAATATATTTTTTTAAAATCTCACAGTATGTACAGTTAGTCAAATTAAGATATTTTTATCATATATGAGTACTGAGTTTTTATCAAGAGTTTTTTTAGCATCTATTTTGACCTTCTGATGCTATGAATGAAGCTAATACATTCTGTAATGTTGAATCATCCTCACATTTGTGAAACAATCCCTAATGAGACCTGGGTTTTTTGTTTGTTTATCCTCACCAGAGGATTATGCTCCCCCTTCCATTGATTTCTAGAGAGAATGGAAGGGAGGGAGGATTAGGGGGGAATAGAGAGAAAGAGAGAGAAACATCTATATGAGACAACATTTGGTTTCTCCTGCAAGCACCCCTATTGGGGCTGGGGAACCTGCAACCAAGGTATGTGCCCTTGACCAGGAACTGAACCCAAGACCCTTTGGTCCATAGGCCAATGCTTTAACCACTTAGCCAAACCAGCCAGGGCTGCTGGACTTGTTTTTATATACTACTTGGGTTTCTTCTGCTATAAACTACTACATTTTTTAAATTAAAATTTACATAAATATTTATTAGTTAATTTAGTCTAAACTAGCCTTTCCCAAATTTTGTTCCATTGGGCTATGTTAGTATATGTTCCTAGGAGGAAAGAACCCTAACAAAACTATAATCCTCAATTTCTTCATATGTAAAATAGGGGTAAAATATATAAGAGATACAGAGATAGATGGGGTATAGTACTATTAGGAAGATTAAATGAGATACTTCCCATAGTTGCTTAATAGGTGAATGAGCTAGAATTTCAGCTCAGGCCAGTATCAATTATCCTTGAGACCACTACATATATGCCATTAAAGAGATTAGATATATAGCTAAAAAAAACAAAACAAAACAAAACACAAAAACTTATACAATTTTGAAAATGGTACTAATCTAGTAGATCTAGGGATTTACATTATTAATTTTTAATCCTAAAGTGATAAAGATTCTCCCTTTATAATGAACCCTTTAACAAACAGCCTACCTGAGTGTGACTGATGGCTATGTGGTTGCCATGGAGAGGTGACTGACGATCTTTCTCCTTATTGTGCCGGCTACTCTGTTTACTACGTTGTAGTTGCTGCCGCAGTTTGGCAATCTGCTTTGGAGAGAGAGCAAAATCAGAAAGAGAACAAAAGTGATTACCAATTTTTAAGTACTTCTTTCTTTAATTTTTGGATAATAGATTGATTCATTCTTCCAAGTTTTAATGATTAAGACTTTAAAAAATAATAAATAATAAATAGGAGAGATCCAAGATGTCTGCCGATGGGACAGCAGGCTGCAAGATAGTGTGCGAGAGAAGGAAAGGAGAGAGCTTGGAGGTGCGGGGAGTGTCTGTATTTATGAGTGAGGGATAGCTATATTCCAAGGGACTGTTTGTTGGGGACTGGTGGACAGCTGGTGGACCTCGCTCCCCTGGCCGGGCAGCCTCTACTGCTGCAAAAGAAACCATCAACAAAACAAGAAAGGCCACTGCATGGGAGAACATATTTGCCAAAGATATTTCAGGTAAGGATTTAATCTCCAAAATTTACAGAGAACTCATACAATTTAACAAAAGGAAGGTAAATGATCCAATAAAAAAATGGGCCAAATAGACACTTTTTGAAAGAGGACAAACAGAAGGCCGAGAGACATGAGAAACATGCTCAAAATCACTGATCATCCAAGGGATGCAAATCAAAACAACAACGCGATACCATCTCACACCAGTCAGAATGACTATCATCAACAAATCAACAATTAACAAGTGCTGGAGAGGATGCGGAGAAAAAGGAACCCCCATGCACTGCTGGTGGGAATGCAGACTGATGCACCCACTGTGGAAAACAGTATGGCATTTCCTCAAAAAAACTAAAACTGGAACTCCCATTTGACCCAGTAATACCACTTTCTAGGAATATATCCCAAGAAAACAGAAATACCAATCAGAAAGGATATATGCACCCCTAAGATTTGGAAACAGCTTAAATGCCCATCAGCAGATGAGAGGTTTAGAAAACTGTGGTACATCTACATATGTCGCTATAAAAAAAGGAAATTTTACCATTTGCAATAGCATGGATGGAACTGGAGAGCATTATACTAAGCAAAATAAGCCAGTTGGAGAAAGATAAATATAATGTGATCTCACTCATATGTGATATATAATGATCAACATAACTGGATGAACAAGAATAGATCCAGAGACAAATGGTAGGGGAGTGGGGGGTAGGGAAGGTGTTAGAGAGCAACCAAAGGACTTGTATGCATGCATATTAGCATAACCAATAGACACAGACATTGGGGCAGTGGGGGCTTGCCCGGGGTGGGAAATAGCTCGGGGTGGGAGGGAACAATTGGGGGAAAAGGAGGCATATGTAAAACTTTAGACAATAAATAAAATTTTAAAAAGAAATAATATATGCTATAAATGTTCAATTACACAATTTAAATAATATTGCTAGTAAACATATACAGTAAATTTCCCCAGATTATTTCAGATTTTATCTTTGTAACACCAGAATTATCTTCCTCTTTAAAATGCTTTCTGTGCCAAAACCGGTTTGGCTCAGTGGATAGAGCGTCGGTCTGAGGACTGAAAGGTCCCAGGTTTGATTCTGATCAAGGGCATGTACATTGGTTGCAGGCACATCCCCAGTGGGGGGTGTGCAGGAGGCGTCTGGTCGATGTTTCTGGCTCTCTATCCCTCTCTCCCTTCCTCTCTGTAAAAAATCAATAAAATATATTTTTAAAAAATAAATAAATAAAATGCTTTTTGTAAGGTGAGAAACTAGTATTTCACATTCCTAGGGATTAAAGTCAAACCCAATCTCTTAATATAGGGACAGTATTAAGTCTTATGTAAACAAAATCAACCTGGCTTATTAATTACTAAATACTTGAAAATTTTAAATTCCATAGTAGTAAGAAAAATCAAATAATTTAGGTAATTTGTTAGTATTTTATTAGTACTTAATACTTTACTATTTATTACTCTTTAGTCACACAAATGGCATTTAATTTCCCAGCTTTACTGAGATATAACTGACATAAATATTCATATGTTTAAGATACACAATGTGTTCATTTGCTACATTTATATATTGCAAATGATGCCATTACCTAACACCTCCATCCCATCACATAACTACAGTTTTTTTATTGTAGCAAGAACATTTGAGGTTTGCTCTCTTAGCAACTTTTAAGTATATATTTCAATATTATTAACTGTAATGAAAACGTTGCACATTAGATTCCCAGAATTCATTCATCTTATAACTGGAAGTGTTGACCCTTCGATCAACCTCCAGTTTGTTCAGCCTCCAGCTCTGATAATCACAACTTTCTTCTCTGTTTCTCTGAATTGAGCTCTTTTAGGTCCCATATACAATTGATATCATACAGTATTTGCCGTTCTCTCTAAGACTTATTTCACTTAGCACAATGCCCTCAAAGTTCATCCATATTGCTGCAAATGGCAGGATTTCCTTCCTTCTCATGGCTGGATAATATTCCATTGTGTATTTACCACATGTTCTTTATCCATTCATTCAATGAAAGACACTTGGCTCTAATCACACAACTTATAAAACAAACATAACTTAGGGTCATTCCCCTAAAATATAATGGTAATAGTCACAGGCTAAAGCAAAGTCATTTGACTATAATATGGCTTGGAAATCATTAAATTACTAATGTACTTTAGGTGAAGTACAATCTGCTTAAAATGTGCTAGACCAGGAATAAAATATCCCTGAGCATTTTAAAGGGTACAATTAGCAATTTGAGAGAAGTTATTTAATAATGGTATTATTTATGAAAATATTACATCACTTAACAGTTTTACCTGGAAAAAACCACTTCTATGTTACCTACTAGCTGAGGAGAAAATACAAAGTAAAGTCTGTAAAATATATTTCTTCAAAGATATATAGTAAAGCAAATATACAAAATCTTTTAATATTAGCTAAATACTTACCTTTAATAACCATGACAAAAAAAGCAAAATAGACAGTTATTATAAAAGCTCAAAGGAAAAAGTAAATAGATTACAGGGAAAATTTATTTTTGCTTGTGGCAAATAGAAGAGAAACAGCATGGAAAGAAATATAGCACTTAAACAAAGAATTATTTATATCCTTTCTTTTATATTAATATCCATTTATCCCTTTACTTTTCCTAAATCTCTGTAGCTTATGGTCTTTCATACAATGTCTTTGCAAAGATATACAAATAAGATTATCTATGTGTTACATGTGCTGTCATAATGAGATAATGTTCTTCTAAAGAATGTTAATTTTCATTAGGAAAGGAATAATAATTAGTAGATAATTACTCTAGATCAAGACAGTTTATTATATTTATTAATATAGAATTTCAAAACATACAAGTCACTTAATGAGGATAGAGATATAAAATTAAGTGTTTTCTGAGTATCAATGGTATTTATTGGTATTTTGAAACCACAAAGAGTTTGAATAGAAGAGCCCATAATACTTAGAGATTAATCAAGGCAATTAATGCTTTTCCATTCAAAAAATATCTTTAAAATAAACAAACAAAAATAAAGGCCGCCAAAAAACATTTGTCCTAAACATCTTTAACAAACCCCTGAAAACAAAATGTATACATCAAAGTACACACCTTACTTTTTAGAAATACCAATTTAAATTATGCAACCTATAGTTTTCACACGATATTGTTTATTTTTGGAATATAACACAGTGATGCTCTTGTTTACAACTCAGCAGAGATTAGAGTAAAAGTGAAGCTCATCTCCCTAAATATATATGTACTCAGAACATTTACATTCTTTTTTGTCAACAACTATGTGAAATGAAAGCAAGATGCCATAAATCCTTCTTTGCTTCAGAGTATGGGAGGTCCCTGTTATTTACATCATATTCAGGAGAGGCGCAGACCTACATAGTAAAACTGTAAATGTTCTCACCTTCCAGAGCTTTTACTTAGACTTTGTCTTTTCTTTTCCCTTTGATGCTCAAGACCACACGACAGCCAAAGCTATCTCTTCTCCCTGACCTTAGCACCAGTGGAGAGTAGACACAAAGGTGTCTGTGGGAGGGAGATGTAGAAGGAAACCACCTTTCCACACACACCCATCCTTCCACACACAAACACACACTACTCCCACCCTTGTGCACAGCTCTGAGCCTGCCTCAGACAGCCTCCGTAAAGCCCACATTCCATCGCATCACACAGAAGCTCCTGGTCCTCACTTGGGTGAGCCTACCCACCGTGGTTACTAGGATGAAATGACCACACAACTTTTCTTTACTGAGTTATACTGACTGAATTTTTAAAACGAAACTATAGATGAACCTGACTTTGTGTTTCTAAATATTCATTAGCTATTTGGTGACCTTAAAAAAAAGTTATGACTGGATCTTGAGGGTATTATGCTAACTAAAATAATATAGACAAAGAAAGACAAATACTGTATGATCTCACTTATACTAGTATGTGGAATCTAAAAAAAAAAAAAAGCAAAAAAGCTTATAATAACAGAGAAGATTTGTGGCTGCCAGAGGTGGAGTGGGGAGGTGGGCAGGAAATGGGTGAAGGTGGTCAAAGGGTACAAACTTCCAGTTGTAAGACGAATAATTTCTGGGAATGTAATGAATAGCACAGTGACCATAGTTAACAATGCTATATTGTATATTTCAAAGTTGCTAAGAGAGATCTTAAAAGTTCTCACTATACATAAAAAAACTGTGTGAGGTGATGATTTTGCAACTTATATATTAATATATATCAAATGATTACATTATATACCTTAAATTTATACAATGTTAAGTCAACTAGAGCCCTGGTGCACTGGTGGGGTTCCTCAGCCTCGCCTGTGGGGAATCTGGCCAAAATTGGTAGTTCGACATCCCAACATGAAAGGAGTCCCCAGTAGATAAGGTACAAAGTATTAAAAAGTTAATGAATAAGTGATCCTGGGTCAAAAGAAGAAATAGCATACATACAAAGAAATGACTAAGACATTTATGGAATCAGATAAACAAAAATCAAGGATTGGCCCCACTCAAAATCTGAGAATTATGAATACATTTTAATGTAAATTTTTGAAAACCTGATAACATCATCCTT